CTTTTGATACTTAAATAAATTTTTTGATGCAGCCAAATATTTTATGGACCCCACTAATAACTGTGGTTATCGATTACCAAGTAATCTCAAGCATCCCTCAAAATATCCTGCCTCCAGAGGTTCTCTCATTTTCTTTCTGTACAATTCAGAATGAGAGCCAGAGTTGTGAATACAATCCAGTCTTACATGTAAACTATCAGCAGCACAAAAATGTCCAGCCACCAATAACAATCTTACAGTCATCAGAATTTGTAGAGGGAAATGACTACAAACTGCAGAAACATAATGCTCAGAGCCCGGGATCAGGTAACTGCGAACAAATGAGCGACATCTTTGCTCTTCTTCATACCCCTCAACTTATGGAATCTACGTTGCTTGGTGCGATTTGCTAATTAACAATACGGTAAAACAACAAATTCATATTTTACATCTTTATTATTCATAAGTACGATTAGCATTACGCACAGAATTATTTTCTTTATCAGGATCAGTACATGGCTTCGCCATGACTGCAAACACTTTCATGGAATGGTAAATCATATGCGACGTGATTACAGTCACTAAATACGAATAAGCAGCAAATGCAACTGATACAATCACATTTGTTGAAGTATATACATGCCAACAAGTATAATGAGAATTTAATTTTGTCATTAAGAATTGGTTATTGGAGAAGCTTGCATCAGTTGCTAAATGTCTACAAAGAAAATTTAATCGTTGACTACAAGTAAATTACAGTTACTCCAGGACAGCTAAATAAAACTTCAAGGGACATAATTAAGCAAATTAAAGCATAAACAGAATACATTGACTATGTCCTTTATTAGTGTGTAAATAATAAGAAACTACTTAACTGAAACAAAAAACTCATGATTCTTGAAATATGATTCAATCCTTGTTATTTGGTATTTATAAGTTACATAAGCAATTTACTGCGTTACATAAAACGACTAACGAAAAAAACAATATATAATACTTAGCGAGATGACATCGAGAAACGATCTCGAACACTACCTATCGCATTCCATAATGAATCACTCCAGCCCTGATGACAAACAAATTATTAATTGAATGTAACATACTTATTTTAAATAGAAGGCACTTAACACTATACTTCATTTGGAAGGTGATTAAGATTATTACATATTTTGTATGGAATACATAACATTAAACCATTGATAAAATGCAAAACTCACTTTCCCATTTGATATCCGTCCACCCGCATGAGCATCGAGAACTTTCTGATAGCGTAATTTACATGCAGCTTCGATAGTTTTAGCCATAGGACCAGCGGAAGGTTCTACACGAAACACATAACACATGAAGCTTTCTGACAAAGTATGCATAATGAAAGCGCAATGCCTAAAAATGCCTTGATTGTTTAGAATGTTGAAGGAATAATTGCTGTAATCGGTATTTTTCGTCAATGTACAGAGCTAATCTGAATATTTTATAAAGGCACTATCTCCCACTTGACTTTTGTTACTAGATCTATTAAAATATACACTTCACACTTGAAAATTTATGTAGTTATTCAGATTCGCGTTCTACAGACAGATAAGTTTTTAATTTTAAAACATATAAGATCACGAACGCAACAAGGGAAGAGAGTTAAAAATGTCTAAAGCATGAATATTTGTATAATTCACCACTACATAGACTAAATGTATAGAAAATCAGTTGAACACGTAAAAGTTTGAAACAAATGTTTACTTGATATCACGTCCAATTCCTAAGAATGATAAGTACCGTACTCTACACTGAGCAATTTGATTGCCATTCACTTCATTTATTGTTATTGTTGACGGAGCTACTAATACGTCTGCTAATATCCACCTATCTGATCGAACCTAGAGTTTAATTATTAATAAAAATGTTATGACAGAACTCGCTTCATAAACCTGTGGCTAAAAAATGACCTGCTAAATATCTGGTTTTATATTTAGGATTATTTTTAAAATCCGATTACCCTCCTGCAAATGAAACCATTTAGGTTTTTTATTCACGACAAAATTTGAGCATGACGAAAACAGAGATAGTATACAAGATTTTATCTATTATAGTCGAACGTGATATACTTCTCAAATAAGAAAAACAGATCAATGCTACTACCTGTGACACCAGACGGTCAACAGCTTCATTCAGAACTTCAATTCCTGTAGCTCGCGGCACCTGTGTGACGCCCAAGAAATGACATCGAATAATCTTCTTCGGTTCTTCGATGGGAGTTGGCAAATATGTGTCTCCTACACATTTACAAATAAACTCTTAAAACATGTCTGTTTCGAGTAAAAGTAATAAGTGTCAGTGGACAGAGTAACATGAGTATATATCAGTGAACATACTGGCAATAAGTCTTCTTTCACCATAATCCATAGAGCCAAGAGTATTCGGTCGCTGCTGAAGCATTAACCTTTTGCAGATATCTCGCAAAGTATTTGCAATATTCCGAGCAGGCGTGTCGCAACGAAATACGTGACACATGAAACGACGTGACACTCGATCTCGAGCAACATATGCAAAGTCTCTATAACACACAAATTAAACCACTTTACTGTGCTGAAAATGAATAAACAAAGCCAAATAGATAAGATCACGATACAGGAAAAAAATCTCCCCCTTAATAGATACTATATTTCACAAATACAGTAGATACAGCAGAAAAAGTAAAGCTCAAAAAAAGGAAAGAAATATGAAGCACAGAGGAGGAACCAATTCGTAACCAGGATGCTTCAAAACACAAATTAATAAACATAGAGTAAATATAGTGTGAAAAGATGTTAAGCAGATAATAATTACAGCATCTTTTTAGGGATTAAAACAATTTTTTCTGAGAAGCATTAAAAAAAAATTTATCAAAAAAAAGATATATTACGATAAGGGAGTAAAACTTATAATAAAATAGTAAATTAAAGACAGATGCTTTTGCGGAGTAAACTGCAATCAATCAGCAAAAAGTTGATGAAATCTTTGAAGAATTAGCACAGTTTATGAAATCTTCAACAAAGACTTGCAGTTAATGCTCAGAAGAATATTAAACCTGAGAAAAGTTAATACGACACATCCTGGCTAAAATATATTGGTTTAAAACTAAATAACACTAGTATACGAAAAAACTGGAAACGTGCAAGATTACCTGTCACTGCAGCGGTACCAAAAATGATCATATTAATAGGTTTCAAAATCAAACTATATATTAATTGACATAATTCGCATTGATTAGCTTTTAATAGCAGAAAATTCAATCTAGCTTAAATCACAGCAACTTACATTTGAAACAAAAAAATCTTTTTCAAACATATTTGGTTAAGGTAAAGAGTTTGAAAATATGTATTTTTTTATCCTGGCTACGAATCCTCCAAAAACATTATTATATAATATCCTGGAGGACTTACCGGCCGTTATCACGTCCAACTCCCCACACACGAATATGCTGCATTCGTTCGGAATGCACAACAGTCATCGTATCCGGATCGATTAACTTCAAATCATTATCATCTAATTCCATGATCAGCTCTCGACCCTGAAAACTTTTGCTATCTTCGTAAGAACTCAATAAATCACCAAAACTATTAAATTCAAATCAGTAATATATAAAAATAATTTTGGAACATCTACCAACATTTCATGGCTAAAAAATTTTCTTACAACATAGTGTTAATAGCACATACGTCTCCCCATTTCGAAATATTATCCAATATATCATTTCTGCTTAAGTCCACAATTGCTCTATTAACAGCTCTTGAACTTTTTTCGTGTGTTAGATCGTCCTCTGGGATTTCAGTCCATCCTAAGGAGCGAACAGCAAAACGAACGGGCTATAAATTCCACAATTAAATGAGACACTCTTTTTAAAAAACCTTAAAAACAAAACTGGCTCAAAGTATCATTGCTTTCCTTTATATAACGAATATTAATGAGCAATTTGGTACCAAATGACTTCAAACTTAACAAGTAAAGCCAACAAGTCATAGAGAAATGCTTAAAAAATGTTAAAATTGGTTTTTCACTCCTTTATTCAGTGCTAATTAATTCCCACTTCATACTTCTTTCCTTACACTTCCCAGAATACATTATTTACACAATTAAAGCTGATAAATTACTAAAGCAGTTATAGCAAAACAAACCATTGGAAAATTTTTCAAACACAATAAAACTTGAGTGGCTGAAGCAGTTAGTTTGTTGCTTTGCCGCCGCACTCTTCCCCTACACAATTTTCTTCCAAACATCAATAAAAGACTACTTTTAGCAGTGACTTTTCATAGTAACCATTGACGAGTACTGCAAATTTCTAATCCACCCCAAGTCTTCACACTTCTACATTCTCTTCACTTTCATGTCTTCCACCATTGAAGTGGTGTAAACTTGAGTTTGAATCTCTGCACATTTCTTCCCACTTTTTAAAACATTACTTTGCGAAAAAAAAACTTCTTCCAAATTTCAAATTAAAAGTAAAAAATTTCGCACACTAAAATATTTCGGGTAAAGAACCAATTTGCTTCATCGAGTTTTATTTCGACAAAAATAAAATACTAACTCTGTCCATATTGTCGTCATCAAAATCACTAAAATCATTATCAATACATCGTTTGGTGGTAGTCTGCTTGAAAGCATGTTCTTCAATAACCGGTTGCTGAGATGGAAGGTGAATAATTTGCTGAACAGAGGGTGGTGCAGGATGTTCTCCAGCTTGTGTCTCCTGATCACGAAATTCGGAATGAGCATCATTTGTTTCAACTGGTATTCCTTCACGCTGAAAGATCGAAATGTGATTCCGTAAAATTGTATACACTTCGTGCTCTTCATATTTTAAAGCTTGCACTTAAGAAGAGCTTAGGACAGTGCAATAAAGAAAATTAGCATATAGGTAGTGAAATCCTTCCTTACACTTACTGAGCGCATTAAACTTTGCTTAACTTCCGTATAATTTTCTTTACATGATCATATTCCTTACCACTTTTTTTCAACAAAATCACACAAGAAAACCCTCTTCAACGTTGCAACCTAGCCTGTCACATAGAAAAACTAGAAATTTCGCTACTCAGTAGAAACTTTTATGACTTATGCAGTTTCAAAAAATCTATTTAAATGTTACTGAATAACCTACCGGAACTTCTCGCTGTATCGTTCCACTATCGACATGCCAATAATACGAAAAGCCGGATGGATCTGAAAAGATGCTTTAGAGATCAGCTTTGCTCAAGCTTGTCATGAAACTCAAAGTCAAATAAGGCATTCACTTATTTTTGTATAAAAATAAATGAAAGCTTTTAAAATGCTATGGAACCCAAGTTTCGAGTAAATTTATAAATGATCACAATTACCTTCATGCCTTTCCCAACCAGTCGGAAGTGCTTTCATTGATGATGTATCGTCATAACGCATAGGTCTGCTGTAATGAACTTCCACATTTATTCCACTATCATGACTGTCAGGCGATAATACCGCATCATCTACGATTTCCTCATCAATAACGTAATCAGTTTGAGGTGGCCGTCTGAAATTAAATAAAGTTAATAACATTCTGGAATTATTTTAGTACTTCTTTTTGCAAAGAATAATTATCTGCATTTCTCCTTTCATCTAATGTTTCTAAATATTCTGAAAGAATAAGTATTCTTAAGAATTTCCAATAATTTCTATGATTCCAGTCAAAAAAAACTGGTCAACAGTGCTGAGTCACATCAAATCATGCATTTTACAAACCAAGTAAAATTTTCATTTCAACTTCATTTTAACTACCCTTAATAACCATAAAATGTATTAGTAATGAGAAAAGTGAATCAAAACTGTATAGTAGCAATAGTTTTCTCAACACTTATTGGTATTATAATCTGAAATACAGTGGGTTCACATCATTATGCGTATCAAAACAACTTTGAAATAATATGTTTCACATCTACAGAACAAAAATTGCTCTCAAATGAATGATTTAATGCTATGACAATAGTACTTGATGATGAAGTAGATGATTTTAATTAATAACATAAAACAGCAGAAATACTTTAAAATCTGAGACAATAAGTTACTTCAGCAAGTAACAAAGAAACACATATTTTAATTGATACTCAATCCAAAATGATGATACCCAAGCACAAAATTCCCCTAGGCTCCTTATGTTAATATATAACTGATTTTTTAATACAATTAGAAAATTTTTCGTTTAAAATTCTACTGGAAAATTGCGTATTTAAACTGGTCGTTTCAAATATTACATTCCAGACAGACTGATCAGCAATGAAATAAAGACAATTTAGTAAATTAGCATGAAAACTTGGCGCATTACTTTTGAATCAATACTCTGCTTCTGGAAGTAAACTAAACTTAATTTAATATTGAACTCGGAAATGAACACAAAACAAAAGAGCTTTTATTTTTTTCTATTCTAGTTCTTCACCATTAATGCTAAATGCAGTACAGCTTGTTAAAAAATTAGCAAAAGTCTCATTCTTTACAAAGTTAAATTAGATACAAGTGATAGTCAATAAAGCTTACTCACACTCCAAATAATAGGAAGTACATCAACTAACTTTGGAGTTTCTACTTCACGAGGTCTTGCTTGATCCAGCTGCCAATAAAACGAATACGGATCACGATATTCTGTCACTACAGTAGTGTCACCATGGCGTCTAACACGGATATTATCTCGTAGAGCAGCATCAACAACTGAGCGTGATTCATAAAAATTGTGGGCACTATAGTCAACGGGCATTTCACTACTGTTCTCTGTTCGGTATCTGTAATTCTGCTCGGTTCGCTCAAGATCTTCCACGTTCTGCTGACGAAGCTGCATTAGATGATCATCTTGAGAATCTAGCAAACATATAAATGAAGCGCCGCAATTAATTTATTAATAATAAAACAAACGTATAAATGTTTTAAATGCTATGTAAAATGGAAAAAAAAGGAAAGTTTGCTATTTAGTAAGTTAAAATTTCTACACCGAAAGTAGTGAAGTACTCAAGTGACAAGTCAAATAGCTCCTTCCTGAACTCAGATGACCCGTTTGATTTCCTTCTCAATTCAAATAATTAGTTTTTGTTAACGAAAATATATTATGAACCTCATTATAATCAGTTATTTTAGCAGAAATAGCGTAATGCATAACTTTATCTCCATTAATATTCAGTGTGTCATGTTAATAGCGTAATTTAATTAGAAAGATGTAATTTCATCTTATAACATACTGAACAAGTAATCAATTAATTCTAAGTTCTATAAATGTTCTTAAGCATCAGTTGCAAATAGAGTAAGTAATGTCGGGACCACGGGTAATTCCTCGAGCAATATTTTAATGATTACACGAATGTTAACCCGTAAGATTCCCAATATATAATTTCTCCATGACAAGCTTGATCATGCAACCAAATTGGAATGTACCGGGTGATGTTAAGGAGCAGTACGCAGCAGAAAATAACTGATGCAAACATCTCCCCCTGCACTGCCCGCATGTTCAGCTACTCTATACGTAAACCAAACATTATCGAATTGACGAGCTGCAGTACAACACAACACAACAATACTCAAGGAAGACACAACTTAGAAACCATTTTTAACAACGCAACCACAAAAGTAACATTTGCAGTTCGTGTCGCGAAAAATATGCATCTAGGCGAAGTCTGGTGCCTTGATGCCGCCGGGACCTTTTCAGGCCCAGCCACAACTTTCTTCTGAAAGTTGTCTTGAAGGCTTAGGCTTAGCACATTCTGAATGCCATAAGAAACAGCTATCAGATATGATGGTTTCGTCGCTTGCTGTCTTGGAGGATTTCATTTCATATACTCAAAAGTTTACGCTCTGCAGTGTAAAACAATACAAAAAAAGAAAAGCACCTCCTTGTTGCTGCTCATGACCTTGGTCTTCTTCCCTTGGCATACGCTTACGATTTACACGTGCCTATTCCCTTCAAACAATATTTTATCGTAACCTGAATTACTTGCACACGTTAGCATGTAAAATTTTGTAAGCACTGAGTACTTCAGCATCGTTAGCAATTATTTCAATTATTAAAATATAATGTAGTCCTAAAGCATCTTTGCGTGGATGCTTACGTCTTAGAGGAGCGTGAAAAAAGTAGGAATGCGCATAAATGTCAGAGATCCCTTCTTCAAAGTGGAACTGACCTAAGAAGAGCCAATGATGGATTGCAGCTGACAACTTCTGCTAGTTTGCTGAAGGCAAGAGGACTGCTGCTCGTAGCAACGGCAAATAGAGATGAGAAGAAGCTTGCTCGAGCATTTCAGGCATTAATTAAGCAGCGAGAGAGGGAGGTGGGCGGAAGGCTCTTCACATTTACCTCTGTATGTCTGTCCATACGTCTCTTCCTAATCTATCTTTTTCGTCTTCACTGTATGCTTGTCTTCAACTGCGTGTATGCACATATTTTCAATCTATACACTGTACATATGATTTGTGCGTCCACGCAAACAAATACATTTTTGTATGCCTGTACGTGAGTATACATTTCATGTGTAACTAAGTAAATAACCGCAAGTAAATGTGATTTTACTCAAAGCGTAAGTATACACATGTTGGTAACGTGTAAGCGTAGTTTTCATTCACGTTTTCTGACATTAGAAGTAAAGAGAAAAGATTTTGGTACAGGTGTATGTTCTTGGCAGAACTATTTGTTCAAACAACGCTTTCCTATCTCACTTACAAAATACAACTACTTTCATGAAATTAAGATATTGCAAAGTATACCTTAACCTTTGTTATCTTGCCAAGTTTGCAATAAGCAAATAGTTTTGTATCCAAAATTAGCGAAAGAAGCAAAAAGTTAGTGCTTACAAGTTAATTAGGATAAAGCTTGAAGAATAGTAAATGAACAAGTATTAGACTACTTCAGAGCAGATTAAGGCTTATGTAAGGACTTGCAGGAAATAGAATTGTCAGGCTTTTATCAAGCATCTATACCAAGGCCTTCACTGCTATCGATAAAGTCAGGCATGTCCTACTCCATAAATTTATACTCCTTTTTTATCGATGCTGACATCCACCCATCTATCCAGTCAAAGGTAATTGCAATCATCAAATGTTCCATATCTCTTTCGTGCTTAAAAGTCCTTCAAAATCGACTCTTGCTCAATAAACAAGTTGTCTGATGTGTATGAACCTTGACCTCACATGCCATCAAAGCAAATTCCTTAAGATTTACACGGAAAGCTCTGTGAACTCATTTTTAATCTATCTTTTTGGAAGATTCGATCGTGCTGACTGATACAGTAATTTCAGCTAATCTGTCTAATGCATAATCAAAAAGCCATTATTAAATAATTGTTATTATTTATTGTTACTACAATCATAAATCACTCATAAATTGTTTGTTATTAACGATAGCCATATTTTTTTTACTAATATCACAATTATTATCATTACTGCAAACGACAACAACCATTACTGATTAACTAGCGATATGATCAATATAGATCAGTTTGTAGTGATATAGATTAGAAAATTTGAAATTGTTTAAATAGCCGATTGCTAGGAAATTAAAGAGATATTTGAAGAAATTAAAAAGATATGGATTATTCTAAGAGGATTTTACATACTTAAGACTAAACATTAAGCAGAAAAACTTTACAGTAGTAATTAATTGATAACAGTAACAGTTAAAGAAACTGCCTAAGATAAAATAAGACATAATCATTGCATTCTGCAATATTTGTCCGAAATCACCGACATGACTTCTTCTGGTAGTATTTTGTGGTGATTGATTATTGTGATATCTGGAAAGCTAGCTGACCTCCTCGTAAGTTCACGTTTTGCTTGCCATTTGCATTTGTTCTTCTCCCTAATATCAATCTTTTTCACTTCGTAACTAACTTGAAAGTAATTTTAGCTCAACTTTATACTCATTTGATTTTATACTTAACATGAAAGTACCCTCTATATCAATCATATATTCAGAAGAGGATGAAAGAATTTTGCATACAGTACTTGCAATATTTTGGAATTATGGTAGTCAATTGTGTCTAATTTCTTCTTTTCACCTTTCTTGAATGTTATTCGCAAATTCCAATTCATTTCTTACCCAAACCACACAACTTACAATCTACCAAAGAATAATGATTATTGACGACTTGTCCTCTCGTAACTAATCAAAGTCCTCATACATTGCACGAGCACTCTCGTACTGAATTAAATACGTATGCGTTAGTTTATAGCCTTCAAAAATAGTGAAATTAACAATACGCTCCACTTACGTACTACTTTAAATTTTAAAAGTAAACAATGAAAGTAAACTTTTGAGTAAATGTAAAAAACACTGACAAAATCTGAACTGAGCAAACGAATGCCATTACTCAAAAAATACTCATACTACTACTTTACGACTAACCAAGAATTTTCCTCCCCCATAAGACTAAATAAACTAGTCTGGCTTACCTAATTTTTATGTAAGCACTTATGTTTGTATGCATGCTCATGTGTGTTTATTCTTTCGTAAATATTGGCGTTATTTTGCGAATGCAAATGGTTGATTGCGAGCAGAGAATAATTCGCAGTACTGAAACATAATAAAAACCTAAATTTAATAATATGTTTTTGTTGCTATTCGAATGCAAAGAAACCTGGAATTTTCAGAAAAGTGATCGATTTCTGAACTTTTTTACTTAATTCTTTCATTTTTCTACCAAAATTATTAATTAGACTGTATGCTACTGCAGCAATTATTTCAAAGGATTGCTGACTTTCAGTGCATTCTTTATTTTCGTAAAGTTTGCAAATTCCTTGTTAGAATAAAAAATAAACAGTTTTCTTACAGAAAAGAATGGACTGATACTCGCAATGCATTTAATTTCTTTAATTTAAATCAATATTTTAGCGCCATCCATCAAGTAAACAATCTAACGCAAATTTCAGCAAATCTCGTATTATATGCTGAATCTCATTCGAGCACATTCATAGTAGAGTGGAGCAACTTCAATAAAAAATATAAGCTATCAAACTTTCCAGCTAAAGTAGAATATTTTTAATTTACTGATCAGTCATTGACCTTTATTCTAGAATTGCTACACTTTAATCTTTCATCTAACTTGTGACTTTTGAAAAATGATGAAAGAATTGTTGAATCATAGCAGTCTTCACTTCTAAAAAGAAGCTAAGAATAGTATGATTCAACAATATTTGCTCACTTGCGTCCCTTAATCTCTGCTTCATATTCATAAATTTAATTGCAATGAGAAGAGATTCCTAAAATATGCACATTTTTCAGAAACTATATTTGTCATACGAGCAATTCAGTGAATTACAAACTGCGTATAAAAAGCAATTTTTTGTCTTCCTGAAAAGGCAAGAAAAAAAACAAAACTTTCATTTAACTGTTTACTTTTCAGTTCAAACACTCTTTGATTCTGCATTTTCCCTCGCAAACTAATTGACTTTTTAGAAGTGATCTGATCTGATCTGATCTATGCTGATTACCAAATTTGTACAAATTAAAAAAAGAATATAGTTTTATATAGCAATTTTCCTCATTGAAAAAAAATTTTTCAAAAAAAATGCTGAAACAGAGAAATAAGTAAAAAATCAACAGGGATGACTATTAGTATTTAAAAACATCTTGCAGTAAATCAGTAATATTTAAGATCTACTCATTCTTCACACTTCAACTCAAAAATAATCTAGAGTTATATAACTATCAGACTTGTTATCGTTTACAATCTTTGAAATTATGAATTTTTAGATTGTACCAAATTTGTGATATTTCACGCAATAAATTTGCCTTATATGTCAGTAATAAATACAAAAGGATTATTAATACTTAATTACTCTATTAATTAGATAGTGACAAAGAGCAAGTTAATAATAGATTTTAATTTTTTGATTTTCTTTCTCTCTTTTAAAATTTAATACAATTACTTGAATAAATATTTGGATTCAAACAGTTACTACGTTAAAAAGTAATTGTTCTAAAAGAGAGCTTTGAAATCGCCAAAAAGTGTAATTTGAAAAGATCTGAAGAATAAGTTTCAAAAACACTTACGTGAGCAGAAAAAATGTACATTTTCGGAGTTGCACATTTTTAGCAATGAAAGAAATTTTTAAAGCAGTTTTGCTACTGACTTTGATAGCTTTGATTATCCAAATCTTTGATGAATCAATCAATCAATCAATCAATCAATCAATTCCCTTGCATGGCACTCGACGAAACACTATGAGATTTTTTAAGTAGTTTTTATTAAGTAACAATTCGTTACTCACTGCCTTCAAATCCATTCTGAATGATAACCACACAGCCATATTTTGAATATTTCGAATACTACTATCATTACTATTGAAAATAAGTATATATTCTTGCAGTTATGATTTTATTTATTTTCGTTATTAATATGGATTGGAACATTATTACTCACATAATAATATTAATAATAATAATAAGTAATAATAATATCACACTACTTGCTAAGTGACACAATGATAACATAGTTGAAACATTTAGTGTATTCACTATTATATTACATTTGCGACATCAATACTTCGATAGAATCTTCTCGGAATCAAAATATGACTCAAATTGTTAGTTGAAACTTTCAGAAAACAACAACTCTTTCAAGTATTATTATAATATTAGTTTGATTTAGCAGTCGAACATGGTAAAGACATCAAAATCAGTATTCATAAATGCGTGCAAAAAATATTTAATTGAAATTTCATCCAAACGGCAGATTATAAAACGAGCCAAATTCGTAAGGCCCGACTGGTGTCAATATTGCATTGATGTCTGCAATAAAAATGGTAAAAATTTGTATAAACATATTCTAATCAACAAGGAAATTCTTATATGACAAAGAAGCATTTGTCAATAGAAATACTGGACTTAGAATTAAATTTAAATAATGAAAATAAAGTTTCTTGACACATACTTCTTGAAAAAAATGATCTAGGCTTTGTTTCCCAAATCGTATCCGCTGAATAACCCCAACCAAAAAAATTCCATAACGTTCCTATTCCACCTTGAGGCAAAGCTTGAGGTGGTCCAAGTACACGTACATTTATTGGATCCACATTTATCCAACCTTTACAATTTACATGCAAGGCAATACCAAATTTTCATTTAATTTTCCCTTTTGTGAATATAAATGTTTATCAATAAATTATTTGATCGATTTATGACAAAAAATTAACTCGGAATTCGGAATATATCTAGAAAATTACTTCATTTAAATTAATTATTACTAAAATGTAACCTTCAATTTGTGGATTAAGAAGCAGTAATAGTAGCAATGCTAGCATTTACTTATATCACTTGTAGAGATGCTCTTCCTAGCAATTATGTACTTGAAACTAGTTTTTCCCTTTCAAATAATAATTCCAAAATTGTGGAAGCAATTCACCTATTTTATTTTCAGCTCAACTATCAGAAATAATCAGAATTTGCATATTTTGAAGAATAACAAAAACATTAGAGGGTAACAAATATCACTAATAATTCGTAAGATCTTTTATATCGAGCGAAAACGTGAAAACGCTCATTGCTGCTCAATTTGAAGAAGGAAACGATAATCAAAATGTGTTCTGAATCTTTAGAATGGGACGTTATTTGACTGCATATTTTGTGATGCCTTGAATTTGTATCCATGTGAAAATAACATGTGAAGCGCAAAAATGTTACAATTATTTATTACAAAGCAAGCAATAGATTGCATGAAATTGGAAGCAGTAAGCTACCATTTCGTCAATGTACTTCTTCGATAATTATTAGTCATTAAGAATCGAAAAAATCTCACTGATTCAGATAACATAAAAGGCCATATTTTTACTTATGTATTATGTTATAGCATAAATTGAGTACTTAATATTAACTTGAAAACTGATCCTTTTCAATCAGCAGTTTGTATTCTTACTTTCATTCTACTTCCAGACAAAGAAATGATTTTGTTCTTTCTTTCCACTCAAAAAAATTGCTCATTTTTTTGGCCCATTGATTTTACCTTCAAGAAGTAAAAACTTCCAGTGATTCTGTTAGAATTCGTCAGTTAAATAAAAATCAAAAAGTATCAATTTCGTGCCAAGAATTTTGAGTTTTAGATGATCTAAAATATTGCAGCTGATGGATTCAGAAGACGAATTCCTACTCATTAATGCATCAAAAGTTTTCAGTATGGTTAATATATTTTGCTATTTTTTAATCAAAACTGCAATATGACACTACAGAGCCAATTTTGTTGAGGAACTTCTGCGAAAAAATTGGAAATTAGAATGCTGGGATTAAATATTTTCATTCCGAACCTTACACACTTCCAGAAAAATAATTTGTCAGATGCAGCATTTAGATGCGACGGTATTTACTTTAGTCATTTTTTATTGATAGACTGAAACTGCTTTTGTGAAAGATTTGTGCGCATTGCTTTTTACCTGCTTTTCTAAAAAGAATTTTGCCTTAATATGCAGCAAAATTTGTTTGTGTGGGGAATAAAACGTTCTCAAAAGATTCTTAATAATTAGCATATTTTTTAACAAATTAGCGATAGATCCAGATCTATAAATTCGCTGTTGGCAAATCTGAATTAGAGCGAAAATTAAGGAATTATTTGATTACAGTAAATTAGTGCTCTTTGTTGCTTGAGTTCGTCATATGCTTATTTCGTACTAAATCGGAAATTACTGGAAACCTTCGTGTTTGTGATAATATTTAAGTAATGAGTAATATTTCAGTAAATTATGAACGATGCATTAGAATGGACGGAAACAATTCGAATGCGTCAAATTGGTTTGTTTTTAAAATTTCATTTTATCTGCTTTGTTGAATTTTGGTTGAGAAGCGGTCTTCATTATAAATAGGTACAAGTGATGTAATGACGTAAAAATTTATTACGATATGTAGAAAGAAGAATTAGGCATGAATTTCACTGATAACAATAATGATATTTTATAGTAAGCATTGTGATTAGTATTATTAATAATGGGAGGCTGTTGTGAGTACGGAAAAATGGGTTTAAGTGGAAATTGTAATTATTAATAGCGCGTTTTAGCTTTGAGAAAAAAGCTAGATTACTCTAGAATTCTGTGTTGAGTTGCGAATGAAACCATTTTATATTTCTTTCCAAAGATTGTATCAAAAATATTTTTGGTCACTTGTATTTGATAAGAAATTCATGCCAAGTTCAATTTTGCATAGTGCATTTTATTGAAATTTTTTTTCATGTAATTAATGAACATTTATTGATTTAATTACAATGAAGCATTTATTTGCTTCTTATTCTGATTAGTAATTTCACTAGTTAGGCGATGCTGATTTAATGATGTAGCAATAAGTTGCATCGTTTCTATAAGCTAATCCTTAAAAAATTGCAATAATTGCAGTAAATTATGTATAAAGTTTATTTCCTTAGTTTCTGAGAATGATTTTAACAAAAATTTTGGGTTTTTTAAAGCAGTGTTTCATAGTTTCATCTCATTTCTTGTTCAAGCTTCTTTGAAACAGCTGCTGAATCTTAACCAACCAATTCCATCAACTATAGCTGTGGAACCAGTCTGGAAAATTCTTATCTTAGATCGCTATGGACAGGACATCATATCGCCATTATTGACAGTCAAAGAATTGAGAGAGTTAGGAGTCACTCTGCACCTGTAAGTTTTATTACGAATTGACGTTTATTTATATATCAACGATGTTAATTGCTCAGAAAAATTTTGCTTCGGTTTGCACTTTATTATTTTGCAGACTTTTAAAAAGTAGTCGCGAAGTTTTACCTGATGTGCCTGCTGTTTACTTTGTGTCTCCATCAGAAGAAAATATAAAAGTAATCTGTGATGACCTTCAGAAGGTGAGTGAAAAAGCTTGTGACCGCTAATGTTAAGCATACTATTTAGATTGTGATCAGTAAATTAGAATATATTAACAATAATTAGTCTTATTTTAACTTTTAATACTTCTAGATAATCAAAATTTAGCTTTTTTGAAGGCATAAAGAGAAGTTTTAAAACTTGATGCTTGGAAAAATTATGTAATTGTTTCTGACATAAAATCTTTTTAAAATTGTTTTTCAACTTCTTACAAAGGAAATTCTAATGTCTTTAAAATCGAAGGAGAAGTTGTTTTATCGAATCTTTATCACTCGTTAAATTTACTGTCTTATAATGTATTTTTCAGGGCATGTATGATAATTATTATTTAAATATGATTAGCCCATTGAATAGGCCTTGTCTCGAACAATTAGCTTCAGCTGCTGTTCATGGTGGTACGGTTCAACAAGTTCAGAAAGTTAGATTTTGTCAAGAAATGTTTTTTTACTCTGCAAACTGAACTGTCATTGTTTTTTGTATTGAAGGTGATGGATCAGTTCTTGAATTTCATATCATTGGAAGATGATTTATTCATACTGCGAAGATATAACAACAATAGTCCATTTTCTTTTTACGGTATTAGTTGTCTTATAATTTCAAATCTATTCGAGTTCTGACTTAAATACGCACTTTGTGAATACTATTTTAGCAATAAGTGACCCTACAGTAACTCCACAACAAATGGAGGCTCTTATTGACACAGTCGTTGATGGTTTATTCTCCGTATGTGCAACACTGGGTGTTTTACCAATTATACGTTGCCAAAAAGATAATGCCGCTGAACAGGTTGCAGTAGTGAGTGTTATGATTACTCTTAAAAATTTATGTGGCATGAAAAATTTGTGCATTGTTTTTAAACTTTACAAGTGTCATCAGTTCACATTATAAAGTTTTTGCTTTCATAGATATAATTTTAGCATTTAGATTTAAATTGAAAATGGAATTTTAAGGTTTACTGCTCTCATAATGCATTTTTGACCATATTTATAGAACAGGTTGATAAAAGCAGAGATTAAGATTTAATTCAGTACGTTTGTAAGGTAGAAATGTAATAAGAGATATATCTGTCTGCGTATATTTTATCTTTTTTGTAAAAATGAAATAGTTTTTTGCCTTCAGCTGTGAAGGAAAATAATCTCTTTATTGTTTGCATATGATTGAAGAGCTGAATTTTCAAGCGTCTGGATCAGAAATTACGGGACAGTTTTCGTGATGCAAGAAATAATTTGTTTATACAAGACAATGTTCGAGCAGGACGACTAATGATTCATCGTCCAGTCTTAATTATTGCAGACCGAGGCATAGATTTAGCAACTATGCTTCATCACACATGGACTTATCAAGCACTCATACATGATCTGCTGGTAAGTGAATAGTATCTAAAAAAGATGGTTTTACATCATCTAGTATTTACGCTCTCTCATTTTCTTTTTTTTTTCGACAAGAAGAAATGAAATTTGATAATAAAAAAGTTTTCATACATTGTTAATTCATTATTTTTCTTTCAGGATTTGGATCTGAATCGTGTTGTAATAAAAGACAAGACAGGAAAAAGGAAAGAATATGACATGAGTATACGAGATAAGTTATGGATACGACATAAAGGAAGTGCTTTTCCATTGGTGGCTGAAGTAATACAACAAGAAGTAGAGGCTTATAAAAATAGCGAAGATGAAATAAAACGTCTGAAGCATGCTGTGGTATTTTTTAAGCAAAGTTTTTTCTTATTTTTTTTTTGCAAGAGCAGTTATTATATTTGATTATAGTATAGATCCTGCAAAAGCGTACTTTATTGCTTACGAACATATTTTACTCATACTTGACGGGAAATTTTTTTTTGCCTATACTTTCAACAAAAAATAGTTTATTTTGACTCTGTCGAAGCCAAATTTTTTTGAATGGTTAGAGGTTACTAGGAAATATCGGAATACATAGGAAGCAGAATACAAATTTGAGGGTATGGGTGATGTCGAATCTGATGAAACTGTTAGTTTGTTAAGTGATGCAACTGCGAAGTTGACTTCCACAGTTGGTTCGCTACCAGAATTGTTAGAGAAGAAGCGCTTAATCGACTTACATACAACTATCGCTACTACTATTTTAGATCATATTAAACAAAGGTTACTGCTACGTTATTCTATTTAGATATATAGTTTACAGTGCAGTTATCTAAAATTGGTGTAGATTTGTGATGCTGATTTCAGAAAATTGGACGTTCTTTTTGAAGCAGAAGAGAAAATAATGAATGAACAGTTAAGTGATACAAGTGTTATAGAACTAATGCGTCATTGTAGTGTTAACGAAGATGTCTTGCGAGTCATGCTTATCAACTATCTTTGTTCTACTAATATATCTCAGGTAAGATTGCCTCTGCCATTAGTGGAAGTAATTACCGCTGTTTTAGTTTTGTATAGTTGCGTCGTGAATTATCAGAAAATGTTTTGTGATTGTGAAATATTGAGTTTCGGTTGAAACCGAGTTTGGTTGTTTATAGGAGGAATTAAAGGAGCAGTATGATTATCTGAAAGAAATTGGTTTTGATGATGCAGCAGTGAAATATGTCAAGCAGTTGAGGTAAGCATTTAACTTCATTTTTATACATATGGCATTTTTTGAAAATATCACGCAAAGATCGTTTGAAAATGCTTTTTGGTGAAGCATGCTGAATTTGAATAAAATATTTTGTGTTTATTATATTCAAATAGATTATTTTTTGTTGTCAGCAGCATTCTGTGTTCCAAATTCTTTAGTCGGTGCACAAGTGTAATATTAATTTTATTATATTGACATTCATTTAAAAAGCTCATTTCTTTATGCAGTGGTATGTATTTAAAAGCGTTGACCATGTAACTTTTATTAGTAGTAAGTGATTTGAATGTTATTTGATATCCTTATAGGTCGGTATCTAGTATGAGTTTAAATCGCGTAACGAACGATTATTCAGGAGGTGGAATAAAGACTGATAACATGTTTGCAAATCTGCTCAATCGCGGTTCACAGTTGTTTATGGAGGGCGTGAAAAATCTCGTTCCAAAAAAGCATAATCTTCCACTCACCAAAGTATGTTCAGTTGATAGCTTTGAAATTTACTGAATATCATGTTTACTTTTAAATTTTTTGATTATTATATTTTTCAATGAAGTTGACAACCTAGACAACTTTTTTGTTAAATTATCAATTGAAGCTAAGATATTTAAAAGAAGTATGTCCTAATTTGCACACGACCAAGATAAATTTTATTATCAAGAAATTCACTCCCAATTTCAGATGGTCGATACAATTCTGACCGGCAATTCTCAAGTAAACTCACGATACAGCGACGATGAGTTCCGATATTATGATCCAAAATTAATGCATCAGTCTGGCAAAGAGTAAATCATTTCTTACTAGAGAGGCTTCATGTTTTTCTTTTATTTATTCCTCCACAGTTCTTCTTCACTGTTAAATTATTAATTTTCAGACCACAGCGCGCACGTAATAACGCAGCACAAGATGTAATTGTTTTTGTAATTGGTGGCGGAAATTATGTGGAGTATCAGAATGTTATAGATTATGGTAAATCAAAAGGGCTTGCACGAATTACATATGGCTGTACAGAATTAGTGAATCCAGCACAGTTTGTTGAACAGGTGAGAATTCTACAACATACTTATAATCAGGGAGATGTATCTTAGCTGCTTTGATACCCATTTTAGACTTTGAAACTGTCTTAAAATAGGTTATGAAATGTATTAGTAGAGTGCCGTCTAAATTTGACGGCACTCGACTAATACAATTTCATCCAGCACAGTTTTTTTTTTTCGTGAGCCAAACCAGCTTTTTCTAGTATCATTGCGTAATCGCGGTGAAGAAGTTCATATCTTGACACACAGTCAATGAGTTTTCAGATATATATGCTTCAGTTTGTGAAATTCTTTCAGTTGAATCGCCTTGGGCGTCATATATCATAAAATTAATCCACAAGGGACAAAAATTGCATGGAAGCTAGGTGTGACGTTAAAAAAATATTATGCATCGTCATGAACAATTACTCTTCATTTGGGTGTAGATTGTAGTAATTATCAGGTTGGTTAAGAATAATATTTCCGTCGAGTTTTGTAATGTATCCATTTTAATTATATTAGGGAAAAACAAAATAGAAAATTTGCTTAGCCGTATAATTAAATGATCAAAGTCCTATTCATTTTACAAAGTTCCTTCAAAAATTTTTAGAAACTACTATATGTAGTAAGCTTTTTCTGCATCTATTTTTTGAACGGCAGTGTTTTCTCGAAATTTGTAAATAAAAATTCAAGACAGAGATGCAATAGTGAAAAAATGTTGAAGATGAAATACTTTGTATTGTATTTATGGTGTGGGGAAAAATATTTCTGATTATGAATAAATAAAGTGCCCGTAGTCCGACAAAATGTTATACATATAATGCTCAGGAAGTTTCATGTCTTTTTATCTGAATTTGTGGCGGTAAAGTTGAGCAGTCATAGGATTTTTTCAAGATTGCATCCAGATAACGGATCGTTGAGTCGTGTATTACACGGTACAAATTGTGAACATTGTATAAATTGTTTTATCATCTTTAACGGCATTTAAATTTCATACCCTACCTTTTTGGTGCGAAAGAAGGTAGAAGATGTCTAAACAATTTAACAGGAAAGATTCTGCTCAGTATACAACATATTCTTAAAATGAAAATAAATCTTTTGACAAGTAATTATTAAATATTGGAAAGGGAAAAAACTTGCTTAGTAAATGCTGCGGCGCAATTCTTAGGGGAGTGAGCGCTACGATATTTGCTTCATTCATGCTGCAACGTTATGATAAGCGATCTATTGTTTCCTTAGCAGTCAGGAAGAATGAGAGCCGGAAGCAAATTATGATCTAGTTGGCTACTGGACTTTCGAGTGAGGAGAGTTAGGGAATTGGTACAAGGCTTTATGTCTTTCAGCTTTTCAGAAAGAAACTTCAAATTTATTATGCCAGCACAGTCATAAGTACTAACTACCAGGCAAATGAAGTAAAAGCTTCTCATACAAACAGTCCTCTTTCCTAATCAATAAATGGTAAGTACTGTGGTGTAAATGTCTTCTTTCGAAATCGTTCACCAAAACTTGATTTGGTTATGACTAAAGGAAACGTAACCTTATGGCACATCTTTAGTGTAAAGCAGACAGATTTTATCCAGATTAACAATTGCTTGTATACCGAAAAAAGAGAAAACCACTTTCTGGAAAAAAAAGCGAGACATGCATTAAAACATAGGAGTATCAATATTTATAGTCATAGAGACTGCAGAACAAAAGTGAATTACAAATTTTCAAGCATCGCAATTTCGTATTTTTGGTGAAGACTATAAAATAGGCGAAAATAGTGCTGAAGTGGATATGTAAGTATAAGAATCGATAGATTAAGAGAAAAGAGAAGTGAACGAACTTATTTCACAGTATTTAAATATACAATGACCTCCACGTGATGGATTTTATAGATAAGGGAAACATTCAAAATATACGAATATTAAGGTCACTTGTGGATTGAAGCTGATCATGTGATCCAAATACAAGGAAGATCCAAATTATATTTATTAATTAAAAACAGAACTATAATCGAGAGCATTTCATCGGTTTTCCTGCGAGAAATTCCCAGTGTTTATAATTTGTTTCCTTGATGAATTCATGTCAAATGAATTATACTACTTGCGATAAATGAATCAGCTTCTATGCATCATATTTGTGAAGTGAATACCATAAAGAGGTATTCTTCATATCCAATAGTAATAAAACCATCTCGATCCGAGTCTTTGTCGCGGAATGCTGCTGTCAATGTTTGCAGGACGACACATAGTTGGATGAAGTCGTCAAAATTAATGCGATGCGTGTGTGTCCTATCAAATTTCGTCATCAGTAAGTCTATGAATCGATCACTTAAACGATATCCTGGAAATAAATAAAAATTTTCAAGAAAAAAACGACATAAGACATAGTGTTGAACTGAAAACTCAATCTCTTAAATAAACATATGACTAAATTATATTTTTGGATATTTGCAATACAAAAAAATGTAAAAATACTAAAATTTAAGACGTGATAAATGCGAATGAAATATAATAACTAGTAAGATTAACCGAATTGCGAAAGAGCCAGCGACATTTCTCGTTTGTCAATATTCCCGGAACCATCCACATCAAAGGAACGAAAACATTGTGTCCACTGATTGATGTAATTCCATAAAGCAGAAAATTCATCAAAATTAATGGCTCCATCGTGATCAGAATCAAACATACCTGTAATCCTCTTGACTTTAATGCATTATAATTTGTTGTGCATTGAAAACACTTCATTTCTTAACCACCGAATTTTCAATAATAACATATGCCGTGTAAATGTATAACATGGCGTTTGCAAGTAATCACGAAACGAAGAAACTTACTTATCATTAATCGGCAAGTCTCAGGATTAAACGGGTTCCAAGTACCATTTGATAGTGCACGTTGCAATTCATCAGAACTGATTTTACCAGAAGCATCTGTGTCAACACTGATGAAAATATTTAGTAATGGATTTGGGACCGACATTTTAGGCTTAAAAGATGAAATGAAGATAATAAACCACGAAATGCAATAAAAGTAATTTTTTTTAATTTAAATTGTAGAGAGAAAAAAAGAAAAGGAATGAAAGTACAATACTAAGATCCAAAGTCACAATTCAAATACCATCTGGAAAAAGATAACAGGTCACCAAAGGTCTACTCAACTCTTATCAAATTTAATGCTATTAAGAGAACAGCACACAATATATCAATAAAGTGTCAAAGTTTTTACACGTCAAACAATATCAGTTCTACTGTAATGTATATGAGTCATCCTTTTCAACCTGAGAAAGAAGATTATGTGAGAGTTTAATGTGAATAAATGATAAAAATAATTTAATGCATTCGTCAATTAGAAGACACCTCTGCACATAATCAAGGAAAAACAACAGCTGTCATCTTTCTGAATAAAACTTTATATTTAATACCTGATAACAAAGACAACATAGTCCCATAATGTACGTAGTCATTAAAAAACTTCACCTTTCACATGCATAAAAACTAATTTCAAAACTTAACCTCAACATTTAAGTGAAAAATATTAAGAAAAGAGCTCAACAAATACGGAATCATTACTTATAAATGCACTAACATATATAATTTAACGAAATTACAGAAGTGCTCCCTTATGCAGTTAATTATTGTAGAACACAAAGAGTGATCGCTAATCTTTGTACCATACTTCTTTTAATGGCTCAAATTAACACACGAATAAGAACAATTAACTCAAACGATTCTTGGTTAGATCTAGCTTTACCCCCTCTCAAAGTTGAATGGACTTAAAGTCAGTATGGAGTAAAGAAATACCACTTCAATCCCATTAATGAATATCCCTTATTTTCTATTCATCACTTTCTTGCTTTGTTCTGTACTCATATCTAATTAATTCGACAACTTTTCATAAACTTGCTGAACAAATCACTTTTTTCGCTCCATTAATAAATGAGCATCCCTAGCTCTTATCAATGCATCAGCCAATAATTTCTGCCGTTTAATAGCTATATGAACTACGCGTTGCATCGTTGAGTCACCACCACACGAGCCTAATTGATTTATTCGATGAATTCGACCATTATTGCCTGTTACCACAACAATTTTGTGAGGTATAATTCGATATAACTCAGAAACTGGATCGCAAAGTATTTTCATCTACAAAGCAAAACTTGATTATATCAGATACTACAAAAACTAATATTCCACAATGTATAATCATCTTTATCACTAAAATATAATAAAATTTCATATAAGGACTAAGAAAATCAAGAAAAACGATGACTAATGAGCAAATAAATTAACAAAAACTGAAAACTAAAGAAGTATACTAACTCAAAATTTTTATGGTGACTGATAGTAGCAAATAAAAAGTATTAATGCTTCAAGCTATTTTGCAAGTATGTCAGACGTTTTTCTTTTTATTAGTTTTTTCCAACTCTTTATAAATACAACGCTGCTATTATTCCTAACGAAGCATTAGCTAAGAACTGTTTGAAAACTGCATGAGGACCAAGATATAAACTCAGCTTTTCTTCAGCATTTACTCAGCATCAAATAAATTCACTTCAAGTATGAAAATATGAAAATACTTCTTTGTTTGGTCCTTCATGTACAATAAATGTACATGATACGGGGATATCAGTGATTTCGATATGATGAAATGTTTCACTCAGTTCAACTTTAGTAATATCAATGGGTATATCTTCATCCCAATTAAGCGAAACTTTGGGTAGTCGTAAATCCACTAGTGCTCCAGCTACACAAGTACATAAAGCATCGCATAGTGCTCCATCAACACTTAAAATCTGAAATGCTAATATGTTCCCTTACAAAGCCCAACATTGGAAAAAAGATAATATTCGAAGTTCTCAGTCACAAATAGTGTAACACTATCTACTTCTAAGAACTAACTTTCAATGCACATTTTAAATTCTACACAAAAAACTGCTGACTATTAGCAAGCAATAATCATCAAGAACAAGATAAGAGAAAGATCATATTTTGAATACTACCATAATATGCAAATGAAGAAGCCACGTGAGCCTTCCACCAGCAGTTTTTAATGCGTCTTTTCCGCAAAAACAATTTTGTGCAATAAGTTGAGTGATCATAACCATACCATCTTCAACAAAATTCTGAAAAATAAAACTACTAGAATAATGTTATTATCTTTTTCGACGTTACAAGATTTGCGAACTGCACAAATGAAAAAAACCTTTGAAAACTTCAATTTAAATGTTTTGTAGCAGAAAATTTTTTTTTACTTTTGAAACATTTGGAGCAGCTTGTATTACTGGAACAATGACAGGAGCATCAGATACCGGAATCAAAGAGGACTCAATTCTACAAGTGACGGTTGCACCACCTTGTCGGGCCAAACTGGAACCGCTAAGTTTACCATTTATACCCAACTGTAAAAAATTAATGTACAAACCAAAAAATACCAAAATGTTACAGGAATATTTCTAGTAAAAACAGTAATATCAAAAGTTCTATGGAATTTTGGGAAAAATAGATCTTTGAGTAATGGAACATACATTAGCTGTATTAGTTATCTCACGAGATGAATTTCCGAAATCACTCAAACACGATTATGAGCAATAACACGAACTTGAAGTAATATGGGCCGAAAACGACTAATTGATCGACCATCGGGATATACTGATTCTAGCAAAAACTGGTTGTAATATGCCAGTGGATCACATATTTTCAGCAGATCAGCGCTCATTTCTTGAGTTCTAATTTTTCAAGAAAAGAATCATTATATTCTCAAATCTAAAATTTTATACACTATATTATGAATAAATTTATCTACATCAATTTTATCTGATTTAGGTATATATTCTTGTTTTTTGTACTTCAACATTACTTCAGAACTACCAAAAAGACCAATCATTAAGAGCAAAATGAAAATAAATTGACTAAAAAATTGCTGCCGTATTACTCAAACTAATTTCCTTTACAAACAAAAAAGCTTGCCATGATTTACCAAGTTAAATCGTGAGTTGAATTACTGAGCAAAGACGCTTAAAAAAATTAGCAAATTATGAATTCCTGTTGTTAACTAAAACATGGACTATGGAAGCTATCAAAATATAGATCGTTACTTCAGCATAAATTCAACTACCTCACTTCTTTACTAACTATTAAGTACCTACTTTTCACTTTAAAAAATTTTTACTATTTTAGCATTGAATTCTATCTTTATATCACATAACTTTACATGTTTCGCAAATCTCCGAATAAATGATATTTTAGAAAATCAGTAATTTAATTGATTATCAAATTAAGGCTAAAGTAAGACAGAATAACTTAAACTTCCAATCAGAAATAATACCTTAAAAACTAACAGTGAAGAATCGTAATAGAATTACTTTTGGCCCTGTCTTGTGAGCATCTAATCAGATTGTATCAATAGCTCACTATGAAATTTTTCGTTTCCCAATAATATTTAATTAGCAAGCAATTATTGTAAAGTGAAAATGAATGCGCACTGATCTAATTAATGAGATCTTATATTCACTTGTGGACTATTCTATATTTTCATATCTTTGTTTCAGTTAAACTCAATTATACTTGGTAAGAACTGCTAGGTTTATTGATATGCAAGTGTATGAATGCATATTTTAGAAATATATTCCAAAAATTATCATCATTTGAAACATAACTGATTTTATAACCTCTATACTATATCGGAAGCTAATTTTTGCTGAGACTACACTTTTCAGAATTTAAAAGAATTCGTGAAAGAATTCAGGAGTTCTGTCCAACTGATAGAAAGTAATAACATACTTGAGCAATAATTGAAATTCTTATTAATATATGCGAGCTTTTCCGAGTACAAAAATATGAGTATTTGTATGATACAGATAGGCGGCTAGCATTAGTTCTAAGACTGCAATCGAGAGTAACTCTGGCATCTTAGCATTCATCTTCTAGCAGTTAGCCGTCAAGTTTTTGCTGGCTTCTCTTAATTTAGAGTTGCCTCCCAAAGGAATATTTTTTGCCAAGTTCTTCTCGCAAATGAAGAGAAGTAGCATTCTGAAATAGATGAAAAGTTCGCTTTATCTGAAGCAGTGGCTGATTTAATCTTTGCTGTCACTAATTCGATATTAAAGTATATTTATGAGCTAGACAAACAAGCAATTATTCATTTGCATATTTTTTCTTTTTCCGCAAGTTTTATTGTTTCAAAAAAAATGCAAGCGCTAATATGCAGGTTTGAGCGAATATTAGATTGTAACTATTCCCAACAAATTAATTAACAGGTTTGTGTATTTCATGTTTGGTGCACCCTTTGACCTACATGAAGTCAAGAAAATCAACTTCAGTCACCTCTAAAAACTGTTTATCAGGATTTTCATGAATCTTAACAACAAATGATTCATTTTTCGAAATTGATTTGGCATTTAAGTGAAAAGTAAGGATTCTTCTCGATAAGAAAATAATAATTGCTTGGAGTAAATCCCACAAATTAGCACTATTTCATTACATTTAATTGAGGCAACCAAAAGAGTATAAAATTAAATGCTAATAAAAATAGAAATTATTTGCTTATTTTATCATTTGGGAGCGGTTAGTTTCGTTTAGTGTCAAAGATTTTAACGTCGAACAACCTTATGTCATGCAGTTTATCACCGTAGATAAAGAGTTATTGTACATGAATAACATAAATCATTGCTACATCTTATGTACCTAAATTAATTATCAGATAAGTATGATAATGAATCACAATAAATAAAGCACATTAATGATTCCATTTATTGTAAACTGTTTTTTTTCAAATGTAGCGGAAATGTCAAAAAGTGATTCGTACAAAAAGTCTCGGTCAAAATCGGTAGAAATGCAAAATTGGTTTGTTGGACTGATAACAAAGCCAACTGTTGAGGTGTATTTTACAATTTTACGTTTTTTTTCCAATTCTCGTAAGCTTATTATTTATTTTTCGATATTCAGAACTAACAAGATCACATTCAGACTGAAAAGCTTTTCAAGATGATTAGAATTAAATTCCATAGCGATAACGACTGATCCAAACTGCTTCAAATATTTCAAAAAGTTCTTTAAAAGTTGTTATTCAAAACAGTCAATTATTATTTACTTATATATGTGAGATGTCTTTGTCATAATGTAAAGAATTTTTGGCAGGAAATTTAATCTCTGATAAGTAGCAAAATCATGACTTCTATCTAAGTCATCTTCACTTTGCTATCACTTCTCATTTGTTTAAAGAAAAAATTACAAAATTTAAAAAAATATTTGACTTTTCGAAAGTGAACTTTACTAAGAACTGAATTTATCAAATGATAAGTTATTGTCGTAAGTTTATAAAATGATAACTTGTTATTTTATCACCTCTTTAATGGTATTTGTTCTGAATTGTATTGAAAATTAAGACATAACTCTCACAAAACTGGTGGACGATTTGGGACATAGCTCCTACAAAGCTGATGCATGATTTGGAATTTAGCTCTAAAATAGCTTTGTTTTTGGGTTCAATTATGATCAGTTGTTGTAAGACTTTTGTATTACTTCTAGCGCTACTTAAAAAAGGAAGGGCAGTATTTGGTGCGTACGCAAGAAAAAAATGGTCGCTTAGAGTTTGTTCTTTCCGTTAGAGGCAAAAATGAATGTGCTCATTTGACAATTACTTATGAGGAAGGAGTTGGATGGGCTATCAATGCAAAGCTCCGTGTATGCTTAACTCTTAGCCAATTTATTTTTGCTATTAATGAATTTATTAATTTTAGTTTTACAATACTTTCTTTAATTACTATTACTGAGAAGCAGTCAAGTAGAGCACCGCTCAGTAGTAATTTAGAAATGTTTCGCTCAGTGAACAACAACTAATTGCTCAACTAACACACTTTTATTGCTTAAACGAAATGATTGAAGCGTTTTGATTCAGAAAGCATTCCATACAATTGTTGAACTAATTAAGTATTACGAAAAAAATAAAGTACCTGTAGGAAATTCTGGATATTTACGTATTCCATTCGAAAAACCTAAATGGTCAGTACTTTTTCATTTTTGCTATATTTACTTTTCAAACATATACGTTTATTAGCAAATCACTTTCTCACTCTTTAACAACTGCTAATTAACTTTGCATTTCTTAAAATGTAAATCAAACTTACTGCTTATTTAAAAGTTGCTTCACTGATCAAGTATTAGCCTAATTATCTTTGCATAATTAAATATTTCTTGAAATAGATAAAAAATTACAGTAGAAATAATCGTGAAAATGCAAAAGGAAAAGTACATTAATGATTGTGATAACAATCATTTTTATAGCTGTCATTATAATTGTAATCAGTTGTGATAATAATGACAATAATGATAATTTTGATTAATTAATTCATACTTGCAAAACACATTTTGTACTATATTTTGAACTGAAAAGTATTTAATCCTGCAGTGTTTTAATAATTCTTTTGTTTTTTAGTACACTGATAAAGTCAAAATATTCAAAAAGTTTGAGGATTTGAATAATTAGAACAACTAAGCTAATATTTTGATCTCACTTAAGTCAGTCGCTATAGACTTGATAAGACAATAATCTTTTCAAAAACTACAAATTAATATTTTGTTTTAAAAGTAAAATAATTGTTAACAAGCTTTCATACTTTAGGCACTTTATTTTCGCACATTATTTTTTATGAGTATTTTTAGATGATATTTTTCTAATATTTTTTGACCCACTACTTTAATACATTTCATATCAATGTTTGCCATGACCAAAGTAATAGTAAAAAATCCAGATTATATTGTGAATTTATATTTTCACTTTACAGTAAATGATTTATCAACTCTTAATTTGTGCTACTTACATTGAAAAACTTTAAGGTTTATAAGACACGAAAATATAACGTACGACGTTGAAAACGACTTAATTGGTACAGGGAATTTCTGCGATGTTTTTAAAGGAAAATTATTTGGCAAAATATTAGTGGCATTAAAAATATGTCACGGACCAACTGGTACGAATACAATTTAAAAAAAAAATACTTATTTTATTAAATTGCTTAAAGCAAATGAATTTATGAAAATTATTCTTAAAATTAAAAAAATTGTTGCTTTTATTCCAAAACAATCACTCACTGTCTAATCAAAATGAAAATAAAATTATGCAAAAAGTCTGTTTTGATTATTTACTTTAGCTCAAATTCTCAGAGGAAAGTGTGCTCAGTTTTTTTGAGAAATTTAAATAAATTTTGAAGCAAAAAATGATACCTACAAAATTATTTTAATCATTTTTCTTTTCCATTTAAATAAAATCAGTTTTTGAATAAAGCATAGAAAGTAAAAACTGAATTTTGATTCATTTTGAACAAATTTTATAATAAAATCCATCATTGGCTGATAATTACAGGAGAAAATTCAAGTCCTGAAGAGAAGAAGAAAATTGATGAAGCAAAAGAATCGCTAGAGCGTGAAGCATGCTTAATGTCAGATTTTAAACATCCAAATATAGTTAAGGTAAAGGATAAAAAGCAAATACAGTTTCTCATTTTAATCAAAATGATTATTCAAAATCAAAATGATCAAAATTCATAAAATTTTGAAACTGTATTTCCATCACTTATCAATGTGCATATTATAGTAATCAATATGGAAATTTTGATTGCTATAATATGGAATTTATAGCAATCAAAATTTTTTAAATTAAAATCACTAATCTGAGCATCCAAAACAATTGTAGTAAATTCCATATTGTTGACGAATTGAAATAATTAAATAGTAAATATTATTCAGAAGAAAGCTTTCAGTACAAATAAATCTTTTCGAAATGCTTTGACTTTTTATTTTTATTTTTTCAACACAGAAATACTTGGACAAAGTATGCACATTAAGTCACAAAAGTATCAAACAGTGATAAGTGATGGAAATTCCATGCATTTACTTTTGATCTACTTGAATAATAAATTGCTTTAATTAAAAAAGTAGAAAAAATTGCTAAAACAATGCAGGAAATTAGTTAGGCAAGCTCTATACTCACAGCAAAGTATACTAATATTCAGTTTCATGGCATCTGTTGTGATGTTCCACCAGTGTGTATAGTACTGGAACGATGTACAGGTGGCTCTTTAGATGCTCATTTATTACAATTTGCTGATAAAATTTCGAATGGAGAAAGAGTTTTGTACAGTTTTGGAGCCTCAAAAGGGATGTGCTATTTACAAGAAAAGTTGTCTTTTATATTTTATATATAATTTATATGAATGCAATTTTATTTTTGCTTTTCTCAATTTATTAAGTTAATACTGCAAATCTGATCAATTATCTTTGTGAATTTTGCATTTATTATTGTATATTTTTTGAAGATTCGTATTTTCATAAAGACAAAAAGTGTTTGTTTGTTAATTGAGCGATTTCTATGGGCTCATTTCAGTAACATTTAATAGTTCTTAGCTAATTTCTTTTGCTTATCTACTAGTTACAAGCTGAAAATTTGGAGAAAGTTGTAAGGTTCAAGTTGCAAACATATTTTAATGCATCAAAGTATAAAAGTAGTATTCAAGACATTTGATCCATCGTGACTTAGCTGCACGAAACTGTTTAATTAGTAAATATGGTATTATCAAAATTGGCGATTTCGGTCTGAGTCAACTAGTCTCTGACCTTACTGGAAAATGCTCAAAAGAACGGGTAAATTACTTCATGTATTTAATTTGTTATTTATTTTATTTGAGCTTCGGATAATCCCATTAAAGGTAGTTGAGAATTGCTGAAACTGTAAAAATAAGATTTAAAAAAAATTGTTTTCTAACAAGTAGATCATTTCATTTTCTGATATTTACACTTTAATTAATAAGTAGAGTGCATTAAGAAAACTTCGTTAAAGTGCAAAGTTCAGAGTTTACTGGGTCAGGTACAAATTATATATTATTTCAAATTTTTTATCTGATCAAAACTATTCTTTTAATTTTAAGGATGAATTATTGAATTACTGTAATAAAATCAAGCAATAAGTATGCCTTTAGCTACCTGTACGTTGGATGGCTCCTGAAACAATCCGTAAAGATCCGAAATATAGCACTAAAAGTGATGTATGGTCATTTGGTGTATTACTTTATGAAATTTTTAATGATGGAATAAAACCATGGCCTGATTGGGATGTGAGGCAGTGTGCAACATGTATAAAGCAAGGAAACATGCCTGACATGCCAGGTGTTATTAACTTCTTCTTACTTATATATGAGTAAAAAATAGTTGTAGTAAAATTGTAATACTAAAATTAAGTGTAAGGTTGAGCTAAAAATTAATTAACTTGATTTACGACTTCATTCGCAATGTGTTTATTTTGTCGTATGTTACAGAAGTAGTGGAGAAGTTTCCTTCAAAAGCAAACATAAAGTATAGCACATGATCAATAGGAAACGATATTCTGAATTCATTTCAATTTCATTTCCAGTTCTGATTTATATTGCAAATTATTAATACAGTATTTTTACAGATAAAACTCCATCGGAAATAGTTAAGTTAGTAAGTGAATGCTGGACGGTGGATGTTGAAAAACGATGTGATTTTATTTACATTGCAAACAAACTTTCAAGCATTCATTTATTGTATGCACCACCAAAACTTAACGATTTAACAATTGCAAAATTAAAAGATGTAAAACCATTGACAGAAAAAGATGCAGAATTAAAGGAAGAGCGCAGTGATTGTGAAAAAGAATCACTGTCAAAGAAATCTTCTGAAAGTTTGGCCAGCGAAAAGTCAATGACTGAATTGGTACCAAAATATTTTAAGGTTAGCAGCGTAATCATCCATCACTGACTGTAGCATAGCTTTTTGTTCAAGTGAGTATTAAAGGTAAGTAGTAGTAAGATAGCAGCTATGAAAGTAATTCGTACGTACTTTTTGCAGCAAAAGGACGAATACATGGAGAAGAGAAAACTCTCAAAGCAAGAAAAGAAGGCATTGAAAGATAGAGAGTAATAAATTAATTACTTTTACAGTAATTTAATTAAATCTAACTGTATTTCAAGTATCAGAAATAGTCAGATTGTTATCGTAACTTGAAATTAAGCTATTTACAGCAAGTAATTACTGCTATTTTGAAGAAAAAAGCCAAGCTAGGATTAATTTTGACTTAGAAATAATAAAATGGAATGAATTTGAAGTAGAATTATTTTAATTTTAGAGCAGAAATTTTAAACGAAAACATTTTGGCATGCGTTGAAGAAGAGATCAAAAAAATGCTAGTTGTTCAAAACAAATATAATCAAAGGAAAAGAAATGTTATTAGCAACTTTATTGTTGAAAAGTTTACTGAGAAAATAATAATTTAAAAATGAAAACAGTTTCAAAAATTAGAATTAATAATTACAGATTTAAATTTTAAACCAAATTCTCTCGATAAGACTTTAAAATTTTTATAATAATTATTCATTTTAAAAATGTAGACTTTAAGTCAAATAATTTTGTTAGTATTTGTGCTTGTTTTAGAAACGAAGGCGATATAAGAAACAGCAAGAAAGCCATGAATCTACAGAAACTTCCAGAACTACCACTCAAGACCATACATCTCGGAGTCAGGATTGCAGTAAAGAAGTTGATCGTAATTACTAAGAAAATGAAAAAAGAAGCAAAATTCAAAAATTTGTTGCTGAAAAAGATATAGAAAAGGATGAAAAGAGATCCTATGATAATTGTAAATTTATACGAATTTTGTTAATAAATTATTTGCAAGAAAGACCAAACATGCAAAGGCATTGAAATTGTGCACGCGAATGAGCAGATTTTTACTTACATTACTGCGCTTAATAGTTGGATTTTACTGCGCTCAATAATAATTTATTTACTTGAAAATAAGACCACAATATTATTAGTATTATTTGGTCAAAAGTTTTACTTTTCCTTTTCATTGACCAGAAATTACTGCATTCATAATAATTCCAGTAATTGACTTACCATAAATGGACAAGCAATAAGGCCAATTAAAGTTTCATTTGTCATTTAGTAGTAGATCACTGACAATAATACATTTTAATACATTTATTACAAAAATGTTTAGCTCCGTTGTAGACTTATAACTTACAAAATTCAAATTTTTATGAATAAATTATTAAAAAAATGAACTGGCAGCTTATCATTCAATTAAATCACTTCCTCTGAGCTTCAAGTTGCTTCCTTAACCGCTTAATATCATCTACTAAAGTTTGCAACCTTAAAAATTTGACTTATTTAGCATACGTCTCAAATTTTCTAGCCATATTGAATTTTCAAATATGTTTAGCATTATGGCCAATTAAAGTTTCTTTTTTGAGCTGGTAAAAATTTAAATTTTATTTCTCAGTGAATTTAAAAAAAATAATAAAAGCAATAAAATACTAAGTAAGAATATCAAATTTTCTGTTGAAGAAATTTCTGCTAAATTATTATTTCTTTAATAAAACAATTGAGTTATCTTTAATGACTTTTTCGTTGTAAAAAAAAATTGATGTACTGAGAAAATGAATTTTTGAAAGTTGTGAAGGACTTTTACAAATGCCAGAAAATTGTATGCATTTTTGGAGCTGATCAAAATTTATCAAATACGATTAATAAGTCATTTATAAACAAAATCATGAAAAACTAACTCATTTTGTTTAATGATCGTTTTGTCGTGACCTTGATGTGGCTTTATTTTTTCCTTAGTTTTTTTAGTTCGACCCCATCTCTATAAGTCAATTTTAATTAATTCACTTTCTGCCTAAGATTAATTTTATAATTTATATTGATATTTTTATTTTTCTTCGCAGATTTCCAATCAAATCCAACATAATTTTAGTACTTTGCGTATTATTTCCCTTAAGAACATTTATTCTTAAATGAATGAAAGCAAGCAAAATTGTGTAATCTGACTCGCTGTTACGCAAGAATCTAAACGTTACCCAAGTAAATTTTTTTGCCTCCTGTGTTTTTGGTGACGAGGTTTCTTTTGACACTCTATGTCGTTTTATTCCGTCTTTTGGCTTTAAACCTTTAATAAAAATAAAATAAATGAAAGTAAGTTGCAACTGGTATTTCTTGCAGTAACAAACCTATTTAGATTACTTTCAAACAAATAACATATTTGTTCTTAAATAGAATATCTAAATCAGATTAATGAGCATGAAAATTTGCATTGAAGTCATTTTCATTATAATAGAATTTGTAATTTTATGGATCAGTTTCTTTTAGCATTACAAATTTGGATACTTTCTGTCACTAAAATCAAAAATTAACATACGCTTATTAGATCCCCCTGGTACTGATTGCCTAACTTTTCCATTTGATATTGGCATTTGCACTTGCGCTTTTGTTCCCCAGCTAGTGGCATTTGCTTTAAATTTTACATAAAATCAATTTTTAGGCAAAAAAACAAAGTTTGAATGAAAAAGATTCAAGTTTGTTTAACTTATTGAAATTAAATGCATTGATTGAATAAATTATTGTATTACTCATTTGTTCACCTTTCCGCTGCTGAAATATAATATTAAGTTTACTACTAATTTGAATCATAAATCTATGCTAATTTTAAATTTGTCTTCTTTGAGACTTGAGCATTTTGCAGAAAAATATACTCACGCGATTGTGCAGCATTCACTTGCAATTTGTAATTATCAGACTTATTGACCAAATTTTTATCTTTGCTAATGTTTCGATTTTGTGATTCTCTCTTAATCGACAACGAAGACGTGGAGTCCTGCTTCAGCGCACGTAACCTTTCGATCTTACTTTGAAGCTCTTTAATAACCTTGTCAGTATCACATAATCCACTTCTTTCACTTTCTGTTTTGCCAACTTTTTTCTTCACATCGTCGATGGCCATATCATCGTCCTCTTTAAAGGTTGCTCCTGCTCCTCCTTCTGTTACGTCTGTTATAATTTGCCGCTTCCGTTGATCCAAATAATCTTCGAAAAATTGTATCACCTTAATATTTATTATATTATGAATTTGAAGTTATCATGCTATTCGATAATGTCATTTCATGTAGAACTATTTAGAGTAAACAAATTTAATTTCATTTAATGATCCAATAACGACCTAACAATAATTACTTGCTTAATAAGTATCAAAAAAATTAACTTCTCTCATTGTATAGCGCTCATCAGGATTCTGCTCCCAGCACTTTTTCATCAAAAAATACATATTTTTCGGGCAACGTTTAGGTCGTTCTAGCCGATTTCCACAACCAACCTAAAATTAATACGTATTCAACTCGATAGTCCCATTTTCTCAGAAAAGTAATTTTGTATTAATTAACGAAAACTAGATTAGGTCTTGAATTCCTAGAAAACGAAATAGTGATGTGAACAAATTCCTCTCCACTTATTAAATATACAATATTTTTGAACTACCACATTTTAAGAATAAATTATTATTCCACTTCATTTTATCCCTGCAGTATACTGTACTACCCTTTTATTTCTAGCAAATCATAATATGCTGATAATATAAGAATTTACTGCATGAAAAACGCAAACATTTAAACCTAATTTTTAAACGTAACTTTAACTACAATTTAGTGTTAATTGTAAAATTATCTGAATAATAGTAGTAAGCATACTCTTTGACGTATTTCCATATGAGTAAGTCCTTCGTAAGGTTCTTCTCCATCAGAAAATACTTCCCAAACAAAAATACTGTACGAAAATACGTCACTTTTTTTCGTATAAATTAGTGCTGCAACTGTTTCAGGTGCTGTCCATTTTATTGGGATTCTTTTACCTTTCTTTAGTGAATACACATCACCAATACGTGACAGTCCAAAGTCAGAAATTTTTGCCTGAAAATGGAAACTAAGCAATTTCTAACTTTTTTTAAGTTCCTAATTATTAAGAAATTCCCAAAATTTAGTGCTAACATTTCAATTTACACAAAAGTACGCTAATGCAAAATTCGAAGAGTTAAAATACTATCCTTTTGGAGGGAATTACTTATCTATTGTTACAGAGCTTATTAAGTTCATACTCGACACTACTTTTGATATAGAAATACTTCGACCTACTTCCATTATTAGTCTTAAATTAGTTTGACTTTCACTTACTTATGTGGCACAATCAAATTGTATGAATTAAAATGCAAGGGTGTATTGAACTTTAAATTAGAACGCAGAATTAAAAAGCACTCAAAAAAGAGAAAATTAAAATGTCAGACAATTTTATTGCTGGTATAGAGTATATTTCTTGCTGCTATGTCACGATGGATACATTTGTTTTCATGCAAATATTGTAATCCTTTAGCTGTTGCATAGCACATATTAATAATTTTTTCTTTACGTGGGATTTTCTCGCGATTTTTGCGTAAATATTCATGCACGGAGCCTCCATCAATCTGAAGCTCAATTTGCTGAAAGTTAATTAACACTTGAAACTTCAACTCTTAGAAAGCTTTTAACATTTTGATCCATAACATTCTTTAGCATCTATTGTAGTATTTACTTGTAGTGTAATAGTCTGTGAAAGATCAAAATATGAGTGCAAGAGTTTTCCTGACTTCAGTGGTTTCTAAATCTATACTAATATATCATTTTACCACAGTTTTTACACACAACTGTTTATGCGAATTTAAGTTTTCAAATTATTTGATTAACACTATGAATAATTTTGCAGCGCATTACTCACAATACTGCTTAATACTTGAAAAACATATTCAAAAATTCAAAAACTACGCCGTTGATCTCAACTGTGGTAATATTTTTGAAATACTGTTGGATTTAAATAGGTTATAATCTGAAGATAATGCTTGAAATAATGATTTTTCAAAAGGAAAATGTAATTAAGCAACGATGAAAAGAATTAAATTTAACACAAATAATAATAAGAAGCATTCATCCCTGCTAAAATCATTTGCTTTAGTATCACACTGTGCTATTTATATTTGTATAAACGTAATATTAAATTAATTCAACTTAGCACCTCAATATAACGTTTCAATTTCAATATTAAACTATTTGTCTGAAATCGAAAAAGATAAAAAAGTTTATAAACTATTTGATTGGAAATCAAACAAAAATAAATTTCTGAATTTTTTTCATCACTCTGTTTTTACTAATAAAACTGCAATAATAAGTTTAGAATTTATTAGTGCAATTTATGACACAAATTTGTGGAATAAAAAAGGTGTAAACCATTTCTAAAATTATCAGCAGCGGAAGTTTGCTGACAGCAATGCCAAAACATTTGGTAACGTTTGGATGGTTGAAAAGACGCATCAAACGTGCTTCATGCAGCAACTCTTTGTAAATTCTTGGAACATAATCTTTTGGATCTTCTTTTTCTGGAGTTCGAGCCTGCAATTAAATTAATATGGTATTGCAAAGTGAATCTGTAAAATACAAATAAATATGCAAATTTTTTTAGTCAATTAATGTAGAGTGTTTCATTAAAAATAATGCTAATTTTTGCTTGAAAATATTTTCTCATATTTTATTAGAATACTCAAATAATGGCAATAGAATAAAAATTAAACAGCAAAATTCATTTGTTTTATATTTTAATTAAACTTATGAGTTATACTAGTTATCAAAAATTGACCTTTTTGTCAAAAGTTTATTGAGTTAATAAGAAATTTTGAATAATTTAAACATAAACAATATTCATAT